TAGGGTTGGTAGGGGTGCGAATGGATGGTGTGTGAAATGTGATCCTAAATATACTCCATAGTAAAATAAGATAATTAACGCAAAAAATAGATTCTTGTAAGTGATCAAGTGCTCTGCAAGATAAGGATATTAAGCATTAGGGTTTTTTTTTTTTGTTTTTTTTTTTTTTTTTCAGTCCACATTTTTTTAATTATTTAAAAACATAACATTAATGTTTGACCCCTCTTAACATTATTTTGTTTGTAGCACCCACTACCACATTCACTTGTAGAATAATAGTAGCATAGATCCAACATGGTGTTAATAATATTATGTAATAAGCCTAAAAATAGCAAGTGGAAATTAAAAAATGATTAGCAACATGGTTTGTTTCTTCTAAACAAGGAAAAGGAACCGACCATGCTTCATAATTGTTGTACATTATGAGGGCACCCCCTCTAATTAATGGAATCTATGCATTACTTGTAATAATTAAAAGTTATGCAATCTAATTATCGTCATAAATGGAAGTAACCAGCCTGTTTGCTTCTAAAGATGGAAAAGGAACCATGGTTTGATATGGAGTATTATTCTTCTAATTCATAAGATTTGGTCAAAAGCTATGGATATAGACATTAGTGCAATGTTCTTATAGAAAACATAAAGTCAAACCCATTTGATTTTGAGAAACTACAAGAAATATAATTTATGAGCATGTAAATATGTAATGTAATGTATCATATCATGTGGTCACTTTAGTCGATGTAACTTTTTGCTTTCTATTTTCTTATGTACCATGTACGGATTAAAATTTCTCAAACAAAGGGGATCGTAATGTGAAACTTTCTAATACTTTCTCCGTTCTGTTAATATTGCAATAAGAGACTTTTTGCACTATTCATCACTCTAAAATATAGTCATGTGGAATCTTGTTGGATTCGTCTCATAAAATTCTTTCAAAATATTAACTTTTTATAATTTTTACTCTTACACAATTATAGATATTTAGCATATAAAATGTGCATAGGGATGCATAATTTCTTCCTTGTTGCAATATTAATAGAACGGAGGAAGTAGATAAATAGAATATTATAATAACATTTTTGTGAGAGTGTGGTATAGCTCAAGTGGTTACAGCTCCCCCTTTCAATTTCAATTGATTTTGGAAGCGATTTTCATTATTCGTCCTTGTGGCTCTCTATACGTAACAAATAATATCATTTTTGTATATATTGGCGTGGAAAACATATAAAATTTCTCCATTGAAGCTCTTTGAATTCTCCATCTACATACATAGTTGTTTATGAAGCTAACATCGTTAACTTTTTTTTATCTCCAAAATTAAAGTTGCCCGTACTTAATTGCATATATATTGACGATTATGAAATTACATAAATTCAAAGATTATGAACTATCTTCATGTTAATATAAGTTTTAAACTACATTTTTATCCAAATTACTATCTCTGTTTCACATTATACATCTAAGATAAAAATTCCCAATTGTAGCACATAATGGGAAATATTAAATATAGTAATCTAGAAGATTATCATGATTTAAGGATTGGGATGATAAATACAAATGTGGGTTGTGACAAGTCGTGCATTGTAGCTCGTACCAACTCTTGCGCTTTTGCAGTAGTTTGGCTCAACACATAGGCGATCCTAGGGGAGCTAATTGAGTTGAGCAACTCGTACTCGACTCGGTCAACGCTCGGTCAAAACTCGATTCAAGTTAGCTCGACTCGAGATGTTAACGAGCACGAGTTGAGCAAGCTCTAACTCGACTCGACAAGCTCTAACTCAACTCGATAAGCTCGTGAGCAACTCGATAATATATTATTAATATAGAATTTGCAAACAAAGTTAATATATTTGAACAAATTTGACACTTATTAAACGTTAATTTAAATCATAAAAAAAGAAAGAGTAAATTTTTAAAAATTATATATATAATAAGGAAAACAATATAAAATTGAACAACAAATAAATTAAGGAATATAATAATAGAAGGACCAAAATTTTAACGAGTAGATTGTGAGCTACTCGACTCGACTCGAAACTTTAACGAGCACGAGTCGAGCAGGTTTTATTTGCTCGAAACTTTAGCAAGCACGAGTTGAGCATATGTAAAAAGTTTTCGAGTTGAGTCGTGTACCCCTCAGCTCGTGATCGACTCGCTCGATAAGCACCCTTAGGCGAGCCTACAGTTTACATGTCGTGCTTAAAATTTTAAAAGGACGCTCCTCACACAATTGTTGTGTATCTACGTGCCTAAACCAAATACTCCGTACAATATCACTTATTTTTATATACAATACACATTTTTATATCTATATCGGTTGTGTCGATTTGTATTTTTTCTCAAAAAAAAAATATAACCTAAGTTTAACACACATAGTAACATGTTGTGTTGTACATTTACAGATGTACTCCAATGCCCATGTCCAATGTCCATGCCACCATATGCAAGCTAACTCGAGCCAATGGCCAATGTCATTCTTATATTACCATAAATGCCTACCCTCAAAAGTGTGCAAATACAATTATACAAAGGTTGCAGATAGATATGAATGGCCGGAAGCCATGACTCATGAGCCTAGAAGCAGGACAATGAAGGACTATGGACTTTGGTGATAAATGATTAATGAAGCATGAAATAAGAAGAAAAAAAAGAGTGAGTTAATCACACAATAAAAAATAAAAATAAAAAACTAATAGTAAATTAAAAGAAAAATTGATTTGTTTGAGAAAATTGGCGTATTGACAAGTGGTAGATCAAATCAAATCTGATCGTAGGTGATATCCATCATATGATATGTTGTATCCTTTTTTTATGCATTGGGAATATTACCCTAAACTAAAGGAAAAGTACATGTTATTTGTTGATTATATTTTGGCTTAACCAAATCTTGATTGATCCTAATCAATCAAATCTTTATGATATTTTAAATGTATCATTATCCCTAAACATTTTTATTAAACTTAAAGATTTAACGAATCCCTCTATGATTTACGTAATCTCGTTATTTTGCATTATATTTGACTTAACCCTCGATCTAACAAACATCACTTGGTTGGTGGTGTTTGTATGTGTTGAGGGATTTCCGGTGGCTATGAGATTCACCAAATATCTACTACAACTCTACAAGTATGACATTATCCTTAAGCTAATATAAAACTATGACATTATCGTTAAGCTAGTATAATAACAAAGGAGTTAGTTTTATACTTTTATGGAGAATGATTTAATTATATGTCTAATTAGATTATAATCTTCAAATTATATACACGCAATTTTAAAATTAATGACACTTATTATATATGACTTTTTGTGAAGAACTACGACCTTATATAAAGTTTTCGTGAAAAACTAACTTGTTAAAAAAATGTGGTAAAAAGTTACATTATAAACACTAGGTGGTGTTAGAAACTACCTTATAAGACATTTAATGTTGTAACAAGCTATCTTTTGACGGATTATTGCATTTACATGCACTAAGATACAAATATTGCAAAAACAATTGACATGAATAGATGAACTTGACATTAATTTATGTTAAATTTAACCACACAATAGTGTGGTCGAATATTAAGGGAGGTTCGAGGTTTGTCGTTAGAAAAAAAACGTCACATTGAGGGGGCGTTTGGTATAAATTCCGTAAACGGAATGGAAAAGGTTTAATAAGTAAGGGAAAGGGTAATGATACACATTACCTTTGATATATGTTTGGTATCTTTATGAAATGGAAACAAATTGAGGAGTTTATGATTGAGGAGAGAAACTTTTTTTGTTTCCACTAGTTGGATTAGGGTAACAATTTGGGGGATTTTGTTACCCTTTGGAAACGGCATTTGTTACTTGTAGCTCATACCAAACTAATAGAAACGAAAACACTTATTTGTTTACGTTTCCTACATTACAAATTTTCATACCAAACACCCCTGAGTAGTTATGGTTAGGGAGGAAGGGACAGGGCCAAGGGGGGTAATTGGTTAGAAAGGGAGGGAGTGTGTGCATATAATGTGCAAATAGTAGTGTGACTTGTGAGGGAAAGGAAGGGAATTGGGTGTTGCCATTTTAGGACGGTGATCATGTGAAGAGAGGGTTGCTTTAAGGACAAGATTACATAGAATAGATGAAAGGTGTGAGCTATTTATTCAAATTAGATTGGATTTTTGTCCTTTTAAATAAAATATCGGACTTTCAAATCCAGCCTGAAACATCTGAAACATAAACTAGTTGTATAAGATAACCTAAATTTCAAATCAAATCGAGACAATCGAATAGGAATTACCCACCACTAGACAAATATATACAATATCATCAGTAAATTAATGGATCTAAATTATATTTGCAAGTAACATTAGATAAGTTGTAGGGTTTGAGTTAAATGGATAATAAACACAATTTAAAGACCGAAAATAGTTTCCTTGTTTCTATCATTAGGTTTAAACATAAACCTAACTTTTTAGTTATAAAAAAAAAAATTTAAAAAAAAAAAAAAAAAAAAAAAAACATAAGTAATTAAAAGTGTGCATAAAAATACATAATTTTGAGTTCATTATACAACTTGTTACAAAGTACGTGTATATAAAGGTGTCAAAACCCAATCCAACCTAAAACCAGCCCGAAATATTTCTAACTTTAATGAATACAGTAATTTAAGATAACTTAAATTTGAAATAGACTAGTGACTCAATCTCACCGAACTCAATGACCACCTGAATTGACACCTATAGGACTTTTAAAATCTTAATTAACTTTAGAGTTGTTAAAGTTGTAAATCAAAACAACATAGAAAAATAAGAAGAAACCTGAAAAAAATTTAGGTGTGTGTGCAACATAAAGACCCCACACGGCCATACCACACCACCCCCACCGGCCCACCAACAAAAAGAAAGAGACAAGAATATGGCCCATATCACGAGTATTATGCATTAATATTCATCAAATTATTTACCAATAATTATTGCATTTTTCAAATAAAAAAACAAATAAGAACAGCAGGCATAAGCATGTGCAACAAGAATAATAATTTCAGACTAAAATTGAAGCTCATTGAAAAAGCAAGGTGACAATTCCAGGCACCTGACTTATAACCAAGTTGAAGTGAAACAGACTAGTACAGCCATTAGATGGACCCTCAATCCCTCACATAAGCATAGTCGCTAAATATACATGGATACCACCACCCCCCGGATGTCGTAACCGACCCATCCGTCTCTTTCTACAGTACATGTGATTTTCTTCTATTTTACATTGTACATAGAATGCACATGGACCAATATCATTATCATAAGTTAACACACCGAGAGGAAGTGCGGATGAGGAGTGACGGAGAGAGACTCTTGGAAGCTAGCTATATGTCAGCGGCAGCAGCCTCAAAACCCTTGCTAACAATGTGATCTTACTTATTTTTCCTATGGTATGAAGTTAAAAAGGAGAAAAGAAAAGGCAGCATCTGCGAACCTGCGAAAGGAAGTTGCAGTTGCTGATGGCGTTTTATGCTTAGGTTGTTGAATACATGCCGGGCAAAAATGGTCGAAGATGGTGCTCTAAGACAGCTAAAAGCTCGTGACATTGGCTTGCATCTCCAAGTAACCCACCTCCAAGCCTCCTGACGGCTTCCACAAGTTGACCTCTTAGCTTTTGAGATAACAAACACCCACCTGCCTTCACGCTCTCTCTATACACTGGCAAGTAGGCGATTGCCACCCTCAACGGTGGAGGAAGATCTCCAAGGCAAAGAGGAGATTCTCCTCGGTTTAAAATTCTAACCATGTTAACAAAATGTTCTTGGCCTTGTAACAAGCCATCCGTGAAGGCATCCTCCGACCACTGCTCCCGGAGAAATGTACGAAGCTCGGGAGCAACTGAATCGTCCTCTGACCGAGCAATGCTATCTGCAACAGCATATGTGCCTGTTGGATCTCCTAGAAAGTCTGAGCGGAGAAGAAAAGCAACTCCCTCAAGGGACCCACCACTTCTCTCTCCAGCTGCTTTGAGGATTTCAATGCTGAGTGCGGTAAGAACATGTTGTGGTACTTGGGGAAGAAGGTAAGAAGCAACCTCGACTTGGCTGCTTGAGGTGGCAGCGGTCAGCGCAAGACATAATTCCATGTCTTGGCAACCTCTACCAACAAACCACTGGACAACTGGCAAACACCCCCTCTCGGCTGCTCGCATTAGAGGTCCTAAAAACGCCATGGCATTACCTTCTTCTACCAAACACTCCATTGTGTTGATCTTGCCATAATGAGAAGCAAAACCCAAGGCCAGATCAACATCCACATCCAAGCTGTTACGCTGAGCAATCTAGGAGAACAAAAAAATAAGCCACATGTTACTACGTAATATAAAAATAAATAAATATAAATAAATAAAAACTAAACTAAAGAACAATATTTATTAAAAAAAATCATAAACTCTGACAATTTAATTATTTTGACAAGTAATTGTAATTCCATGTAGTCAGTTGACAAAACTGCATAAACGGGACAACAAGCAAGATTCAGCTTTCGCTAATTGTTAGTATAAACTAAAATGTGATCTATCTCGTGCCAGAAAACTGTGAATGAGAATTACATATTCAATACATGATACCCATTAACCGGAAAAGGAAAGCCATTAATTCCCAATACGTCATTTTAAGTAATTAAGTCATTGCCACAGCTTCTATCAAGTAATAGACCAATAGTCAACTAAACAAAGTCTATAAATGAATAAAAGAGCCTTTGAACCAGTGGGATTGCAATGCCGCATCCAATGAAAGACCCTAACGGCCTAACCTAAAAAAATCTACTAAAATGAAGCAACTACCACTGTAAGAGAAATTAGTTCTAAGCACCCAGACTAAGAAAGAGACTCGACAGAGTAAGCTTATCTAGTCACCAAATAATTTAATGTTGACTAAGAGACTTGTAAATATTCTATTGTAGCAGACAATGAGACCAGAATACGTAGCCCTATGAATGACATAATATAAAAGTATAAACTCTCCCCGACAAAAAACCTAAAATACTGAGTTTGGCTGACAAAGAAAAACAGGTAAAAGGGGGGTAGGGAAGGAACTTTATACTACATGTTACATATGAACAATTTCAGAAGGATATGGAATAAATATGGGCAAGGAATTAAAACCTAATCCCGCCTAGTGGAAACAGAAAGTACATAAAAACACAAAAATTGCACCAGCCTTCATAAGATTTCAGCTTTCTAATTTTCTTCCTCGACTGGGCATGAAAATCCAGTAAGAGATTGCAACTTGGCTCTTATATGTGGGAGGCAATAAAAATTAAGACCCCAAAATTGCCTTGCAGCCCATTGAAATTAAGCCCAAATATATAATAAAAGCACTCTCCTAAAAGCCTAAGCAAGCCAAAGGCAGTCCATCCCTAGCCAACAAGTTCACAATAACATGCCCAATCAACACTTGCATAACGACATTTATCACCCATCTAATCTACTCAATACTTCTGATTTTCTCTGTGCGTAAAAGTTGAGAGAAAAAGCTATTGGTGGATTTCATGTGGCATCCCGGTTAACGCTCTTATAAGGTAATAAATCACCACGCAATTGGGCTCTAGTATAAATTTAATCAACCCTTATCCCCTCATCTCCGCCAGCCCTCACTTCACAAGTCTGTATCCCTCTTCTCCTTATCAAGATATATATAAAACAGATACCATATCAGATAGCTTCCACCCTTCACACCTCATCCTTGCTGGGAGCCAGCCCACACTTCACAGGTTTTTGTTCCTCTTTTTCCCCCTAATTAGGCAACATGATTCCGGTATTGACTATAGCACTGAAGTCCCAGATTTGGTATCACAGAAAATAGCGCATTTAGACAAGCAGTACTAATATATTCCTGTCTTGCAGATTTCAGGAGTCAAGCCACTAACAGTAACAGGTAAGCTTTTCATCCAAGAATTTTGACTCGAATTTTGTTCAACAGCATACAGATCCTCTTATATGGATAACAGATCCAAAATTATCCATATAGATTGTCTGTGCATGTACAAATTTCCTGTGCAAGTTAACAACCGTGAGAATGACCAAAACTGTCCTTTGATGGAGCTCTATAATTGTAGATCTATTTAAGAGCAGATGATCCATATTTTATCCATAATGATCCGCATGTTTCTGAGATTCCCAAGACCTATGAAGATGTTCTTAAATCTCCCACTAAACATTCAGAAAGTAGTAAACTTAAGAAAGAATAAAAAATCACAGATCGCAACATTTATAATATAGTCACCAGGCAAAGATACAGAAATTCAGGATATGATAATCACTTAAAATTATAAAATCAACAATGAGGCATTTAGGTTCCGGGACTAGCTTTAGACACGTGTTAAACCAAACTACACCCAAACCATAACTCCCTCTACCCTTAAAAAATAAATAACTAAAACCATAGAATGGATGTTTCTACTTAAATTCATTGCTATTGGAAAAAAAAAAGGTTCATCATTAAAAAGCAATCATATACATGGAAATTTATCATCATGAGAAAGAAATTATTAACATATTTCTCAAAAAGTAAGTTCAACAAGGCACAGTAATTTTATGTATTAAACAAAAATTATTACTAATTTAGATTTTCCTGTTGTCCAGTGTTTTTATACAATGAAATTGATAGTTTTACAGATTTTTGAATTTTCGCTCATCGAAACTGATTTTTACCACCTGATTCTAACTGAACTATAACTTATCTTCTATTCAACTGATTTTTACTAATTGAAACTTACTTATACAAATTAAAACTAATTGAAGACTGATTATGACTTATTAGGATTGGTTTATACTAAACATTATTTTCTGAGCCTTAGTCAACCTATGAATTGAACACAGATTTGTAATCTTTTGAATTACTATTTGACAGCAGATTTCAACTTCAATCAGTGCTGTGCAGACAATAGCTTAGAAATGCAAGTATCATTTTGAAAGTTCCCTACAGCAGTAGTACATAAAATCCCCTTAAACAGTGAAGGTCCAACAAAATAACGGGAGTAAAGATTAGGTATGGCACTTTGAGTAATAGGGATCAACATACTAGGGGATTTTACTAAGAAATAACTTGAAAAAACAGAAACATATTTCAAGTTGATATCCTGTACATCCTGGTAGAATATCTTACACTTTTCTTTAATTTCTCCATTTTTCCACAATTGGTCTGATTTCTCACAAACAAAACTTTCCCCCACCATAACCAAACTCATTGATCTCTTTCATACCATGAGCCTTCCACCTGATCACTAACCCTTCTAGTAAATCCTGGTGCTGACAGTGATAACCTTCCATACCCCATACAAAGTTCATGCTTGCTGCTCTAATATCCTTCATACCAAATTTCTGTACTCAAGCCTTGCTCTAATATCCTTCATACCAAATTTCTGTACTCAAGCCTTGCTCCTCATAGACCATCCAACAGCCTACTTCCAATAGCGATTGACCTTCCACCTCAAACAAACTCCTTGCTGTCTACTTAAATTTCTTTTAACCGTATCTGCCAACTCAAGCATTGCTCCTCAAAAAGCATAATCCCTCTAGTTCAGCCTAGGATTAAAACTAGAAACTGAACGGCAAAAGTGTGAAGAGCACATTAAGGAGGACAAGTTTGTTGCACTCTTAGTATGTACACCAAGATTACATTATGACTTAAGCACAAAGCCACAAAGAATTCAGAAAACCAAGATTCAATCTAGTAAAGAGGCATGGAAAGAAACAAAGCCTTCTAGAAATAAAAAATAAATAATAAAAAAAAAAGGTCATGTAAGGATGTCAATTTTTGTCATGCAAACAAACAATGGTACAATCAGTGAGAGTAATATGGTATCTTGGTAGTGATGTCACTACTGTGGTGATCAATCAGTTCTAAGTAAAAGAACCGTTGTAAAGTGAATCTAAAAGAAAAGGGCTACAGGAAGGGGGATTAGCAATGTGGAAAGTTAGTGGTAGCAAAACCCCAGCAAACACATATTAAATTGAGAATCAACACTGCCACATGTTTAGTGTAGCACTAGGACAGCAAAGATTGTTACAGCTACAAAAGGTGATTTGCATTTGCTCCAGTGCTACAAAAGGTGCACAGCTAAGGTGACGATACATAGTTCATTAAAGGCAGGGAGAAAGTGACAGAGATCCAATGATCAGATGCAACACATTGGATAGTTAAAGTTAGCATTTGGCAATGCTGCAAGTGCATTGCAATTGTTGCATAGCTAGAATCATGCTACTGATGGATAATTGGATATAAACACAAGGAATATATATAGTAAAATCCTAGGCACCACGCCACCACTAAACTGTAATTCAAGCTTAGGTTTTTTTTTTTTTTCCTCAAGCTAAAATTATAACTTAAAAGGATTTAATGGTTAGTAATTGGTCATTTAGGCGTAGAAAATAAGCATATAAGCCAAAGAAGATCCACCTTTGGCCTTGTGATCTTTGAGAACAGCACATGAAATACTAAATAAAAAAAAATAGTTTGATGACTTGATATTTAAGTTCATTCTTTGTCCAACTTCGGATAAAGTCATAAAGATGCTGTTCTAGGCAAGCCTAATGTTTGAGTGCTCATCTAGACAAGATAAGACTTTTCTTTCAACACTAGTGGATCTCTCTTAAAAACTTCAATAGTGGCCATGTAAGACTTTAAGAAGTCAAAATTAATAACGATACACTTTTCAAATAAAAGAGGAAGTCAAACAGTAGCTACGCTTAACTATGAACCTCAAAAGTAAAATAAATAAAATAATAATAAATATAAAAAAAAAGTTTAATTTGTGCACAACAAGCAACAAACGGCATTCAGGCAACAAAAGATAAAGTACTGTAAACAAAAGACAAAAGGAAATACCTGCAACAAAATGAGCACTAACTCAGTGCTGCCAAAACGTGAGGCTTCAAGAAAACACTGGTTTACATTATCAGCACCACCCTCGACCAGCATACCAAGGAGCCCTTGTATAGCAGTAGCTGATGCTCCACAAGACCATCCAGGATCAAATGAACTACTAAACAAAGTAAGAGGGAAGCAAGCAGCATCAAAGGCCTCAGTAAAGTCCTTTCCAGTGAGATTGCTTCCAGCAAGATCAAGAAATATCTTAAAGGCGGACAGTTGAAGCTGTATCTCAGCAGCAGAATCACGATGCATTTTCTCTTTGTTCTCATGACACCGAGAATGAAAGCCAATGCATTTCAGAGCCCATTCAGTGAACTTTTGGACCTTAGCACCAGCCTCTGCCTTCAAAACATCATCACCATTGCATTCCTGAAGTCGCTCATGCAACCTAACCAAGTTTTATTGCACAGATTGAGGAAATAAATTAGATGCTTGCTGTGGTGTAGCAATAAGATGCAAAATCAGATGCTAAGGTGGCAAAAGAAAGACATCATCTTATCTAGTACCTGGAAAGACCTCGTAATACCAAGCTATGGGAGGGGAGAGAATGAACACTTTGGTTATATATAATAATAATTCATATTACAAGAAAATAATTGCAAGAGCTTAATTCTATAAGTGCATAACTCTGTACCAAGATATCACCTCAACAATAAGAAATGAAGTGCTATGCTCAATAAGTGGGTAGACAAAAACAGCTTAACCAACGCCTTTCCTTTTCACCAAATGACAAAAACATGTAGTTCCTATTGTCTACAACGACTACAAGTCTACACCTTATTAACATTTAATATCATTATATCAATCAAATGAAACTACCTTTGGGCCATCACAGTCACTGTATCTGCTAGGTCCATTGTTCGGCTCTGACATGCAGAGACACAAGATGCGAGAAACGAAGTTCGAAGAGCTGCTCTTGTGAAGTCATAAGCTCCATTAGCTATTATCTTCTTTACTAGTCCCGTAATACCATGTAACTCCTCGTGTGTAGTAAGAAACCATATCGAATCCAATGAGATGCAAAGGAAATCATTAAGAGTTAGTGGATCAGCAATCAGAATCAAACTTTCTGCCAAGTCCCAATCATGAGAGCTCACAGCACTTTGAAAAAGTTTTCCCAGCTCAATCCTATCTTGTCTACTGAGCTTCTTTTCATTTCCTACACTACCTTTCTTCCCCAACTGAGAACTTGTCGTCACTGCCTTCGATTTCTGCTTCTTAGAACCATAGCATCCAACCTTGGACATTCCAGTGTCCTCCATATATAGCGGCCCTTCTCTCGCAAACACAACATTACTTCCCTCACCTAGCTCGGAAATTTTGCTTTCAATTTCAAACTTGGGACTCTCAGTTCCACCGTAATCAATTTCCATCTCAGAAGGTATCTGCTCCTCTTCTTTAATTTCAACCTTCAATCTCAACCCCTCCCTTCCCATGTCACTTTCCATCTTATACAGGAAAAAGATGCCCTTTGAAACCACCCAAAAGACTGATCAGCTACAGTCAGTTGTTAACAATGAAACAGAACAACCATATCAAAACTATGACAAAAAATTCAACAATCACAAAAATACCAGCAAATTATCTTCCTGAATCCCAACACTTAGTTAAAGTAATCTAATATATCAGCTTCTACTTTCACTTCACTTGAACCAATTAAAATCGAAAACGAAAACTCCAAGTTACAACCAACTGATATTGAAACCGGAATCGAAAAACGAACACTCAGAGCTACGACACCCCTATTGAAGATCACTAAGATTAACGCAATCAAATGAAAAAAGATGCAAATCCTCAAACACCCTTCACTTGAGATAATCAGAAAAACTTGGAGAGTAGCAACATCACACCATGAAAACAATAAAAATCCATCAAACCAAATGAAAAATTGAGCAAACCCAATATCAAATTGCACCAGAGGATCTCAAGATTCTCAACTGAACAGTACCATATAAGCAAAACCCTAGAGCATCATCTCTTCAATTCTCTGATAATACAGCAAATTCTCAAAGATCCAGCATCAACCTGAAATACCCAAAACAAGAATCTCATCAGGAAATAAAAAAAATATTAAAAAGAATCAAAAATAAATTAATAAAGAAATCAATCAAACTCAACCAAAAAAACCCAGTTGCTAACGCAATCAATAAATTCAAAATTGTGAAATTTGAACAAGGGCAGAAATTAAAATGCATGAAATTATGATTTTTATAAAAATAAAATAAAAAAAGGAAATGGGTTTGTTCTTGCGAACCTGAAAATTTGCTTGGCAAAGAAGAGGAGAGAGAATGAGAGGTTGGCTTAGAAAAAAAAAAAAAAAACCCAGAAAAACAAACTAAGATGGGTAATCTTTCCTTTATTCCTTCGAAAATAAAAAAGTAAATAAAATATTTAAAAAGGGGGTTTTTATTTTTATAATTAAATTAATTTTGGGCCTCTTGTTTGATTTTATTTGGGTGGGCATTCTTTAATTATTGATTCTTTGTTTGCATTTGCAGAGGAACTGTTAGTGAAGTCAGACACCAAAATTGTTTTGTAATTTATTAATATCACAAACTCTTAATAACATCCGATTTGCACTGTAAATCGGGCTGGCTGGGCAACTTCATCATCGAGAAAAACACCCACCACCGTCGCCACTCCCTTAGCTTTTCCCAAGAATCCGGCGTCCCCCTCCGATTTCGACCTTGCTGACCACCCCAATCCCACGATTCCAGCGCCGCTGACCTCCCCCCAATCCCCCGATTTGTCGAGTTTGAAGTCCGGGATTACAACAACTCCAAATACCTCGACCCCAATTGCATATATACCGTATTGTGGGTATCTATCATTTCACCTCATCTACTTTGATGGTGGCAAACATGGGGCGGTGGATACTCTGGGTTAACTTTTGGATTTTGTATTTATTTATTTTATTTTGGTACTTTGTTTTGTGGAAAAAAAAAAGTCACTTTTGTAAAAAAAAAAAAAAAGGGTTACTTTTGTGAAAAAAAGGGTCACTTTTGTAAAAAAAAAAAAAAAAAAAAAAAAAAAAAGGTCACTTTTGTGAAAATATGGGTCACTTTTGGAATAAAAAGGGTCACTTTTGTAAAGAAAAAGGGTCACTTTTATAAAGAAAAAGGGTTATTTTTCGCAAAAATGTTCGATGTATAATAAAATTATTGTAAACCGGGGGCATGCAAAAGGAGTTTTATTAACATTAATACTCCGTTTATTCTATACTCCCTTCGTATTTCATTACTTGTTCTATAATACAGAGCATTTCTAGATACACAAGGTTTTAAAAGAAAACAGAGTATCAAGGAAGTGAATTTGATGAAAAAAAAAAAAGTATTACCCTTGTTTAGATTTAGATTTTGGCCATGTTTTCATCAGATTATTTTCAGTTCAGTTTAGCTCTAATAAGTTCAGTTCAGTTCAATTCAGCTCCTAATTTCCTTCTCTCATAAATTATTCATTTCAGTTCAACTTGGCTCAATTCAGTTCAGTTCAGCTCATTTCAGTCAATGAAAACAAGTCCTCCATTTGTAGATATCGAATAGCTTTTTATTAATGAATTGTTTTTTTTTTTAAAAAAAATATTACTTTCATTTATATTATTTGCAACGATTTGACATAAAGTGTGAGTAAAAAATCTAATTGTTACAAATAATTTGAAATGGAGGTAGTATGATAGTTAGGAGAATAGATGATTTGAAAATATTAAAGTATAATAATTAAGGGTCCACTAGGAGAAAAGAAATTTGTAAAATATTCTGAAAGGGTTTTTAAAAAAGACAATGGAGCAAGTAATATAATATGACTGTAAAATACGGCTGTAAAAGAAAAGTAAAGCAAATATTAAAACACACCCCTAAGAGGAAAGTAGAACCAAATATTAAAATGCGGAAGTGTAAACCGTACTCCATACATATACTCCACATTTATTTAAACTAGTCTTCTGGCCCGTACAATGCACGGGTTATTCATATAAAATTGTATTGAGAGATAAGTGAGGAAATATCATTAAGTCATTATAGGGTATAATATGTAATCGGAAAATTTGTATTGAGAGATAAGTGAGGAAATATCAATAAGTCATTATAGGGTATAATATGTAATCGGAAACATGATTAAAGAGATTAAAATTTTTGAACTTTAATCGAAAAAGAGGCTTAAATAGAAGGTGGAAGGGCTAAAATTAAAGAGAGAATAGAAAAATGTTGAATTAAAGGTGAGAGATGAAGTGTGTATGAAAGATGAACTATAAGTTTACCTAAGTTTAATGAAAGAATTTAAAAAAAATGGTGTAATAAAAAATTAATAGTGTAAAATGACATGTGTCACTATGGTTAGAGAAGTGTAATAGAATGGATGGGGACATGTATCTTTCTTAGTTTCTTGGTTATAGACGTAATCAAGAAAATTTGGGCTGGATACACTACAGAGTATACTAATAATTAATATTCCTCCGTTTTTTTTATTTTTTATTTGCATCACTTTCCTTTTATTGATGTTATTTTTAATGCATCACTTTTATATTTGGTAATTTTATGCTATATTTTATCATTTTTCTCTTATTTTAAACTCCACTCAAATTATTTTATCATTTCTCTCCTTCCACCACTTAAATAATAAAAATATCTATCATTTCTCACATATTTTCTCTTTCATGATCTATATTTTACTTTTAGTACTCGTATAATACATTCACTCACATTATTATATTACTCTCCTAAAACTCCGTGCATTCCAAAGTAAAGGCCCCGTTCTTTAGAGCTGCTCTGCTGAGCCCTGCTCAAATCAATTCTGCTCTACTCTGCTCAAAAGAAATTTGTTCTACTCGGTTCTGCTATGCTTAATTTTTAAATAATAATTAATATTCAATAATAATAATTAATATTGTATTGATGATAATAATTTTGTTATTTTGAAAAATTATAATAATTATTAATATTAAAAATTATAATTAATAATAATAATAATTAATAATAATATTAAAATAAGAATAACATTAATAATAATAATAACATTAATAATAGTAATAATAATAATGTTGAAATCTGCTCGGCTCAGCTTTACTTTTCTGAAATGTGCTCTGTTCTAGTTTGCTAAAATTTAATCTGCTCTGCCCAAAAGCTAAAAAAACAGAGCATAATACTTTGTACGAAGTACTTTGTAATAGTAATAATGTTCTATGATGCTTTGTAATTATTAGATGACGTAGTTTAAGTTTGGAGGAAAAAAAAGTAATTTCATTTATTAAAAAATAATAATTAAAAAAAGGTTAATGAGTCATGAAAATGAGAGTCACCCAAAGCTACGCCAAAGGACCTCACCACTTGGAAGTTTTAGGTTGGCTTTTCGTGGGCTCCACCTTTTTTATGCACAATCATTGCTTTTTCCATTTTTAACCCTCCATTCTCATTTCTTCACCGATTTTTGTTTATAACTAGTTTGTGTCCCGAACGATGCCCCGCAATGTTAGTTTGTGCTTGTTCAATTGTTGTATAGCTAGTGTGTGATTTGGGCGTTGACTCGCATGTTACAGTTTATTTTTAATTCATATGTATTTATTTTCTAATCTTGTGAAAAATAAATAAATTAAATAACTTCTAATTTAAAAGAATATATATTGTTATATATGTGAAATTTAAAACCTAATAAAAGTTGGTTCCAGCAGCAAGAGTCGTATGGAAAAAAAATCTAACTCCTTCGATCACTGCCCAATTCTACCAAGGATCAATTAAAGAATGGTTAACAAAGAACCTGGAGAATCCGGATGCAAATGATGAAGAAAGTTTGGTAATTTATTTTGGAATCACTGTTTGCTGGATATGGCGGTGGCGAAACTGTTATGTGTACAATAAAAAGAGCGAGTTTCCCATTGATTTCATGGCTTTTCTGCAAGTCAGGTATGAAGAGGCGAAAAGAGCCTTCAATAATTTGAGGGAAGACGAGGCTACTAGCAGACCACCAAGAATTGAAGTATACATTGCTTGGAATATCCCCGAGTATGGTTGGTATGCCTTAAATTGTGATGGTGCGGCTAAAGGGTGCCCTGGGCCAGCTGGAGGTGGTGCAATTATTCGAGATTACACAGGCAAGATGGTCTCGGCATTCACTAGTAACTTTGGTTACTGTTTTGCTTTTAGAGCAGAGGTTATGGCTCTTACAAGAGGTCTAGTGATTGCCCAGAACCTACAATTAACCAAACTGGAGGTACAAATGGACAATTTAGCTTGCGTTCAAACTTTACATAATCAACAAGTGCCTAGAGGTGAGAATGTGCACGATATTATCTACTGCAGGAAGCTTCTAAATGACCCAAGATGGAAAGTTCGAGTGGTACATGTGTTTTGTGAAAGCAATCGAGCGGCGGATTGATTGGCCAACAATGGAGTTATTCAAAACTCTCAATTAGATTTTATTAATAATGTTCCAATTGAGTTGAGTCGTATTTTAGAGGAGGATGCTAGGGGTGTGACGAGGTCACGCTTCATTCCTTCTTAAGTAGGTGCTGTAGTTGTTTTCTTTGTTTGTTTTGTTTTATTTCTCTTGGTCAATGTACTTCTTTTGGAAAAAAAAAAAACTAATAAAAGTTGGTTTAGATGGTAAGTGTGTAGCATTTATTTGTTTGAGGATAAGGGTTTGAATCTAGATAAATGCATATTTTATTATTTTTGTTATTACCTCCGTTACATATTAGTTGCAACTTTTGCCATTTAGGGATGCTACACATTAGTTGCAACTTTCTATTTTTTTCCCTTTTTAGTAAGTTTTTTTCAATAAAAGTACGAATATACCCTTACTAAAGAGTTCAAAACCACAATTAGCTACCAAATCAGATTTCATTAAATTCCTAATATAACTTATTTAACATATTAATGTCACCCAGTTAAATCAACAATCATCAAAAATCACTATTTCCCATTTCATCTCCCACAAAAAATCAGACACCCACCACTACCTTTACGGTCGTCGTTTTCAAATCAATCACTACCTTCACATCATCGTTTCCAGATCAAACACTACCTTCAACGTCGTCAAAGCTCATCACCACCGTCAAAGTCGCCTCCTCCTCCTCCTCTTGTGTTCCTTTTTCGCTCTTTTTTTTTTTAAAAAAAAAAAAAAAAAGTTCATTCAGATCTGATAGTTTAAGGGGCGGGTGGGCTTGTTTGGGGTGGCTCGAGGCGGTTTATGGGTAAATTAGGGTGAGTGAGGGTGGTTTCGGTGTGGTTTTAGGTTGAATGGGAGTGGTTTTGGGGGTGAGTGAGGGTGGTTGTTCCGGGTAGTTATAAGGTGGTTCGAGCCAAGATGGAGTGGTTTCGTGGTTGTTTGCACTAAGAGAGGGTGATTTTGGGGTTGTTTAGGTGGAGAGCGAGTGGTTTCAAGGTGGTTTGGGTTGAAATGGGGTGGTTTCAGGGTGGTTCGGATTGAGATATGTTGGTTTCAGGGTGGTTCGGGTTAAGATGGGGTGGTTTCAAGGTGCTATATTTGTGGGTGACTTCGGGGTAACTATTGTTGGCTGACGGTGGTGGGACTGTAACACCCCAATAATTCTCCCTTTTCCAAACCACTTACTTTAAATAAAAATAGAGGAGAACCATTGGCATGTTACCGCCACGTGTTAAAACGTTAAGGCTTTATCAAAGTATTGCAGCGGAAATCCAACTTAAATCTTAAAATAATATAATTTAGAAAACCAATAAGTCAAAGCTTACAAATTGGAACCATAAAGGCCCTTATTAAAACCAAACAATATTCAAAATCCTAAAACATAATTAAAATAGTAAAACATAAATAAGTT